ATACTCTGTATTGAAAGAGGTCTTTTAGGTACTGAATTTTCTCCTCTTGAACACAAGAATGGCCGGGTAACTCTTCATTGAGAAGTTCAGAGCCTTTTTCAACTGAATTTTGTCACTAAGTGCTAAAATAGAAGTCTTTAGAGACTTAAACCATGTAAACTCAAGAGCAAGACATGTGGGTGTGGTCATGGCCACAACTACTTTTTGACCACTCCCACTTTCAGCCACACCTTTGCCCTACTTGCACTGAAATCCTGCAGCCGCCTATGTGAGACATACCTTTAGACCTCACAGCCTTCTTAGCATTAGAAGTAACAGAGGCATCAACTGTCTCTAAAAATAAATCAGAATAATTAATAGTGATACGAATACCTTTAGTAGCAGCGGTTCCCTTGATAGGTGCAACTCTTTTTGCTCCTACATTAATAATAAAAAGTATTGCAGCTAATTTTAAAGGCCTTTACTGTTATTAGCTGTGACAGTATGTGTCTGTGTCTCTACACCTACACAATTATAAAGCATTATAGAATAATATTATGTTTCATGCATACTGTTTGCAGCACTCATTGAAAGCTCTTCTCCTTCATCAGTGTCTACAATTACCAATGAATGAAATACTAATTTACTGTTACATACCATTACTCAAGGAATCTTGGTCTTCATCTTCAGCATTTAAATCTTAATATTAATAAATACATTATGTTCAACATAATAATATGAATTCATCAACACCCACCTTGAGATGTCATATTAGGACGATATAACTGAACCCATAACTCATACCTCTCATCCGGAATGTCATACCCATTTTCAAACCTCTTAGAGAATTGCCTGTGCTCACTCATAGTAAAATCTAAAAATATGGTCCAATATCAGATTAAATTTTTCACAATAAGATATATTACTTGCACTTCTCTTCAACTCTTTTACTCTATTAGCTTCCTTCTGGTTCTCAAGTCTAGCAATTCTTTTACGCTCCTTCTCCTTCAAGGCTTCCTGCTTCATTCTTTCCTTTTCCTCTATACATGTCATGAATTCAACACTAGTCAATACTCTTCCGCATGATTTAGGCTTCAGGGTGGACTTGCTACTGGGATGACTAGGAGTTTTCAGAAAAGACTCTATAGGCATTACTCTTCGCATTGGAGTGACAGCTTGCGATAAATCATTCTCTGAAAGTGATCTCTCCAAGAGACTAGAATTGAATGAAGAATCATGATCCCTCGTTCTCTTTATGTCTGGACTATAGAGCGGTATGTATGCTAGACCAGTCTGGTCTAACAGTGAACGGCTGATGGTTTCTTGC